TACTTAATTCACACCTCAGGACCCACGCTGGCGAGAAATGACAGCATGCGTAAAGATAATTGGTACGGAGCGTTTCCAACACAGATTTCTTTTCTTCGTCACGTAAGGAAACTCCTCTACTGTTGACTCTGGATTGTTTCATTGCTTCCAGAAGTCCCTCAACTATTTGAAGTGGTTTCTGTGAAAATCATTAGTTTAACCTTTAAGGAATGGCCACGAAAGGCTTATCCGTTATATCTTTGTCTGTAAAAATTTTGCTTTTTCATACTAAATGATTGTTTGTCATCAGATAAAATTGTAATTTTTCAGAAACTAATAAAACTTTTAATGTGTCACCTTCTTAATGGCTTTGTTGCACATGTACTCTCCAATCAGGCTCAGCCGTGCAGTGGTGCAAGTGGTCAAGGGCAGACCGTCTGCACGCAGCTCTGACGACCGCGCGCGTAACGGCACGGTCCTAATAAGACTGCGGCCTTTACTTGAGGTTGCTGTTGCTATGTGTCTGGGTCAAATGTTTGGTATATCTGAGTTTTTAGACTTTAGACCATTGCAGTCGTTATGTTTCCAGGGTTTTGTTTGTCAATATTATGACCAAACTTCGACCTCATTTAACAAAAATTGTATTTATCTGACATTAGAATAAAACTGAAATTGTGACCTATACTTAATTGCTTACTGCTTGAGTCGGACGCCTGCATAATGGTGGTAGGTGCGGTGACCTCTCCTACCGGCTCCCTCTCTTGTTCTGACGCGGTGCTCCTGTTGCAGGTGGAGAGTTGCAGACCGCCCGCTCCCCGCAGGTCCCAGGTGAGCTGTGCAAGTCGGATGTGGAGGTTGAGGAGAAGATCGCCCTGCTGGAGGGTAATGAGCAGCTTGGGCTGGTGGTGACTGAGTGCTACTCGCTCCACCGCGCTGATGCCGACGAGAGATATGACGAAGGAGGACACGAGGACGGGGACCACGAGGACGAGCACCACGAGGACGGCGGGCAGGAGGCGGCCGAGGACGAAGGTTGCTCCGGGCACCATGACGACGGGGAACAGCAGAGGGCTCCAGTGCGGAAGAGTTGTGTCCGGAGCGCCAAAAAGACGTACGAGTGTGTGGAATGCAAGAAGCGTTTTAGCCAGAAATGTAACCTTGATGTTCACGTCCGGACCCACACTGGCGAGAAACCATATAAATGCAATGATTGCAAAAAGAGTTTTAGCCAGAAA